TGAGAAGATGTACGCCTTGACAGAAATTTATTGTTCTTTAAGAAGAACATCACCCCAAAAATTTTGTATGTTTTTTACAAAATTTTTGCAAGCTTCGAAAGAGTTAGGCACACCTTTAGGAGAAAATGAGACGGGCTAATTCAATTGAAAATAAGACAGTTATCAAGAAGCAAGCAATGACCCTGTTATTGCGTGAAAAAAATTGATTCATCTACAAAGATTATAACATGGGGCGAAGGTGAAGAATCCGGTTCGGATAATCCGATTAATCTCGTGTCATACACGTCGAGGAATTTTTTTGACTGCGATCAACGAATCACAGGTCGACCTAGGGTCATTGGACGCTCTCCTAAGGAAATATGACATCAACCAAAACATGGTCTTCTCCGGATGGTGTTAATGTCCACCTATACATGGGAAAAACAAAGCACAGACTCGGAGTAAAAATGTAAGCAAAAACTAGATTTTCATGTGGCCTGTTAACCTAACCGTAAATAACCATTTAAAACCTCAAAATGAACCATCTACTCGATAATGTCAAAATTGCAATCTTTTCGGATATAATGCTATTTTAATGTGAATAGAGGAAATGTAGATAATGCAATAGAAACGTGTTTTCAAAGTGGGCATGACCATTTTGCACGTGTTTGATGGCTAGGTCATTCACTGGATCTTGAAAAACAGTCTTTGTCTATCGGTTCCTGTTTCCAAAATTAAAACAGGCTTGGAAAACCGCAGCTCTCTTAAACGTCAGAGCAGGGCATAATATATGCTTACAAAACAACACCGTAAAGGCGATTGCATCTCCACACTACAAGTCTAATACAGAAACCACATACATACTGGATCCCCCTTCCAATGATACCCCGAAAAGTAAGAACGTAATATGACGACATTTTTTCTCTCATAGAGGGAACATCGTTTGAATGACAATTATTAGCATGGCTATTTTTCAACTATTATTAAGAATGATGGCCAATAAAAATTTCAAAGCTTTGGACCCAATAATTTACTAGTTGCAATCAACCTTCCTCTAACAGCATTTCTATTTTAACAGTACCTAGCAACCCTTGACAATGACGCCAAGATTTCACCAAATAATCATACAAAATCATAACAGAGACAAAACAGTCAGAATGGATTACATTGTTCCAATCCATTTCTTTTGCACTTTCCTCTAAAAAGGGCAGGAAAATCAAAACATGTCCTTGATTTAACATTATAGTTACAAACATACTTATCGCAATATACATTGAACTTGAAATAAGAATAAAACACGCAGACACGACAGCAATAAGTTGCAGCCAAGATCTGAATTTGAGCATTGAATCTCTCGAGTTTCTAGGTTTAAGTCAAAATTTTCAAAAACCATCAGCCGAAGTTCAATAAGCATAACGGTGATAATATGTAATATAAAAATAGGCTGAATATGATTTTAGGATACACAGGGAAAGGGCCATGTCAAAGCCCTTACATTCACACTGCAATAAAATATTCTATGATCTGCACAGTTTGTCATTGATTACTCAAACAGAACCCTTCGAAACCCTGGTTGTCTGTGTGGCTTAATCTACAAACCGAAACAGTAGTTTCAAGCCTAGCATAAAATCATATGGCGTAGCTGTTGCTTCTACCTCGGGAGGGAGGGGGGGGTACTAGGTAGCTAAGCCTAGTTTTGGACGGAATACGTCGTCATTTTTGTTTTAAAATTTGGACCCATATTTAACACAGTCTGAAAAATGTTTGACCCATAATTCCGACCCGTAACGAAATAATTTTTCAAGACAACATCTCAGGAACAGAACAAATCTCAATCATTAGATAGATTTCATACTTTTATTTCTAACATGGACTTTGTGTTTTATAAACGCAAAATTATTCCTCCTTAGTTAATTTGCAATAATTATCCCAAAATTGGATCCATCTCTGCGTGATTTTCTTCAACATTTCACTATAATTCACACCTATTGCAAAAACTGCGACTAATAATTCCACTTTTCAGACAATAAGTACCCTTAAATAAAGGTACGGTCCTCCGTACTTCAATCTATTAAGACCCCCCTCCCCCTGAACCTATAGCACCACGTTCATGTGGATCAATAATCCTCACATAGTTTAACCACTCTTCAATTTTGTAAATAAAATTATTGACGTTATGGTACCACCAGTCAACGTGTTGGCTTGATTTCTTAGCAAGTCAACCGCAAGCATCAGTATATCAAACTAGAAGCATGGCAGTCTGCAGATTAACACGTGGCAGCCTGAGCATTGGGCTAAGGAGGGCCTTGCCCCCTCTCCCATAACACTCTCTCCAATAAAAAACCCCCGTCAGAGTATCTTTAAAGTTATCCTTTTTGAACATCT